CAGGCCTTGGGCATCTGTAAAAACTTATTTACAAATGATTAAAAACTCCTTGGAAAAATACCTTGGCCAAAACGGACGATTATCAACCTTCATCAGAGCCCTTCTCTCAACAGGCAACAAATTCAAACTCCTGTCTGGGCAGGATGTGTCTGGTTCCTCAAGATTCACTGGGTGTCTGCATTTCTTTGGCTGAAAGCTGCACTGTTAGTAGCTGCTACATAAAGAAATACCATCAATTCCATCGCTCATGGAATCAACCATTTTGAGCTGTTTTGAATTTTTTTTTTTAATGGCATATCCTCTGCTTCCCTATTACAATGGAAAACATAATTGGGAACAAATCTTTCATAAAATTAGATACACACCCACAAAGTAAACTCTGAAGACCTCGATCATGTTTGAGAGGCATTTCTCAGGATTTGTTACAAAGATCTTTCAAAATCCTACTTCCCATCCCTCAACCTCCACCCATTTCACTCAAGGCACTAAAAATTGGCATTAACAAAGAAATTCCAGAAGCCTGAGCATTTTATTAGCAAAGGGAAATCCCAACCTTCTTGGCCTCATTTCTCATGATGACAGCTCATTTTTCCATGTGGAACCACGTACTAGTTGCTGCAAATATTTAAAGAGGTAAAGAAGGCACTTCAAAAGAGAGTCGTAAAAGATATAAATAATGATGATTTAGAACGCTGCTCATTTTATAAGCATAAAAGTCAAGTGTATCCATTTTTAAAACTAGAATGAAAAATTTATAGCGTTCTTATAAAGACTCAGAGCCAGGCCACAGGCACTCTCCCGGGTTCTGGAAGCAATACGGTTACGCATGTTAAGGGTAATTTTGGACAATGAGACACCCAAATGCTCCATGGCTGACTCCACTGTGTTACCCACTACTCCTCTCCCAACCATCTGCTGAGTCCTACCCATACTCAAGGCCTGGAAGCAGTTCCACCTCCATAAACCTCCCCCAATTTCTACCATGATTCACCCCTCTGAAAATTTAAAGCATTTACCATCCAGACCAAAAATTGAACAACTTGTCACAGAATATTGAAGGTTCTTTTGATATATAAATCTAATTCTATTTGTATTCTGCCTCACTTATTTCCTGCATGTGATCTTTCTCCTCCCACCTCAGCTTATGAACTTAAAGACAAGAACCATTATTTCACAAATTCTCCTGTGTTCCCTCTAGTGTCAAACCCAAGTTTTAAGGACACCCAAGATAAAGGTATAGTTACAACCTGAAAAATGTCACCCACTGTAGAACAAATGTTTTAGAACTCTCTTTGGTCTCTGTGGGTTGCCTTCAGGGTTCCAAATATGGAACCACAGCCCATGGAATTGGGCTCATTCCCCACTACACTCACAAAAATCTACTTGACTTGGTAGCAGTAAGTGTTCCACAAAGAAGACTTGGTTTAAATCTTCCTGTCTGGGGATGGTCCTGGAGTAGCAGCAGGACCTTAGAACCATCCATGGGAGGCTCCTTTGGGCCCCTCTTGTCCTTTTTCACTCCTGGAATTTGCTCTCAATGGCCACAATCAGGTCGGGCAGCAGACCTCCCAGGAGCAGGCTGGCTGAAATGCAGGCACACCGCTGGGTCAGCTGCCTTCTCTTTATGGAAGCACGAACTTGATCTGCTGTCTCTCTTCTTCCTGCCCACCAGAAACACAAAGAACCCTTTCTTCCCCCTTCTCCTTTCAACCTCACACAAAGACAAGCAGGAAAATTTGATGGTGGATGGTTCAGGACACCTCTTGGAGAGAGAGACCACTCACTCCAGGTGAAGATTAGAGTTTGGCTCACTGAAGTGAATATAAACAGCTTAAAACTTGTTTTTCTTGTAACAAGGGATACAAGCATGTGCACATACATTTACAAAAAAACTCAAATTGAAAGCCACACGTTGAAAGGCAAGCCCACTCCATCACCTGTTCAGAGGCAGCTATGTCACCAGATTATTCTCTCCTCCAGCCCATCTCAACTTTTCCAATCCTACTCTCTATCCTGGGTGTCTGATTAAGAGACAGGAATAAATATTTACCAAGCATCTCCTGAGTGCCAGGTCCTAAGAGGTGTGCTCTCTGTACATGAGCACCCTGAGTCTTCCCAGCAACCTTATGAAGCTAATATTATTTTCTCCACCTTTTGGGTGAAAAACCTGAGGTTCAGGAGAGGCAAGGGATTGGCCTTAGGCCACACACCTAGATCCCAAGTCACCTTTCCAAGCTACTGCCTACATTACTTCATAAAGTCAAAACTCCACCCAAAACACCCCTTTCAGGAACACTGGGCTCTAGAATCAGGCTACTTTCTATGACTTAGAGCTCTCAGAAACCCACAGTAGCTTTACGGTAACTTACTAGGTCTCAGTTTCTTCATCTGGAAACTGAGTCTAACAATATACCTGCCACGTCAGGTCTGTGGCAGGAGCAAACAAATTTCATGTGAAGAGCTTGTTACAGCATCTAATACAGAGTAAATACTGCCTAAAGGCTAGCTGCTGCTATCGTACGGCTGGTTAACAAACTGGGTTTGAAATGGTTTTCTTCTTTGTTTTTTTATTCCCACCATATAGCTGTGCAGAGGCGTGGCTTTGGGAAGCAATTTGGGATGAATCTGATATTGTCTGGCCCCATTATACCAATTTCCTTTGCTTCCCCCCTCCCCCAGCTTGCTCCTCTAACATTTCTCAACACTAACTGCCAAAATCTCAGTCTTTCTGTTGCCAAATCCCAGAAGCTTTTAATGGTGTTATTACTGTGATTTTTTTTTTCATGGAAATATTTCAGGTTTTATTTAAAACTAGATTCCAGCAACACCCTCCCAACTACCTCTACTTTTGCATTTTTTAAGCCAAATGTTTATGTGCGCCTTCCCACTTACCCTGTTCCTATAGTAGGGAGCTCTAGACTGATTAAATTTTGTTAAAATAATCTCAACTTGCATAAATGGAAGCTACCCAAATTCCTTGGAATGGAAAATACATTTGCTACCCTGGTCACACAATTTACAGACCCATATCCACTCAACTGGGCAGGATCTCCATTTAACCAATGTTTCCTTCTTAACTGAAAGCCCAATAAGACATATAGACTGTGGTGCACGCCAGCAGCTGGGAAGGCTGAGGAAGTTTCTCAGGGAATTGCAGGAACAAGAGGCTAAGGGCGTCAAATGACCGAGGCTCTCACACTGGATAAAAGCTAGTGAATGACTTTGGCAAAGTCACCGCACATTCTCCGAGCATGTTAACTCACCTAACTAGTGAGCAAGTGACATGTCTGAACCTTGAGGGGATTGTGCTAAGTGAAATCAGTCAGATGGAGAAAAGACAAATATTGTAAGACTTCACTCATGTGGAAGACAAAGAAACAAAACAAAAACAAAATGGTGGTTACCAGAGAGAAAAAGGGAAGAGAGATGGTACCTTGGGTTAAGGGGACCCTGTGGAGTGGTAGATGGAAACTAGACTTTTGGTGGGGATCACTGTGTAGTCTATAAAGATGTCTAATTATAAAGCTGTACCCTGAAACGAGATAAAGTTTTAAACCAATGTGACTTTAATAAAAAAAAAAAAATTTTAAGAGTGAGAAGATGACAGCAACATTGTTCAAAAAGCCCTTCCCAGTATTCCCCAAACCCCTGCCTCCCTGGTGGTGCAAGGGGTTAAGCACCGCACTATGAAGCAGTCCTCAGCCTCTGTAGCCTGAGTTTGATCCCAACAAGGGAGAAACCCACATGGTGCAGCAAACCTCTCCTGACTCGCCTGCTGCTCCCCTCAGCAGTGTATTTCAGTCAATCTGCCTGTTCTGCTCCTCACTCTGTCTCTGGTGAGTCCTCTCACGCCCCCATCTCTGGCCTGTACCCCAGCTCTTGTATGCATAAATAAATAAATCTTTAAAAACAAACAAACAAAAAATAAATAAAAGCCCTTCCCACTATAATTGCCTTTAAGTGAGACAAGATGTTGTCCTCCCACCAGTATCTTGTCTGGTCTGGGCCTTATCAGGGAAGTAATTAATTTACATGTCACGATGCTCTCACAGGTGACAGCTCTGGCCCCAAAGAGGAGTGTGTGTGCCACACTAGCTTAAAAGAGGCAGCCTCCATCCAGTGCTAAAATGCAGTTGTGCTATGGTGTGATTCCTGCAAAGCAATAAATCCAGGTTCACCTTTAATTACCCAATGTTAAATGACAGCTGGGCAAGTCCATCATGAGGGTGACATACCTGGGCTGGCGCGCTAATAACTCATCCGTTAACTTCCCCCACGCAACAATTCTACTCAAAGCATCTGGAGGGCAGCTAGTATGAGACAGCAATCTCCTCCCCCCCACACACCCCCCACCCCCCCCCCCCCAGCTTTTACGAGGGGACCTTTGTTAAAGAATCATTGTGCATAATCCCACTGCTGTTATCTGTTTTCTCTGGGAGAACTTGTTTTATAATTCTGACATCATAACAGTTTCCTCCAATCCAAAGTCTTTTATGATGGCTAATACATGAGTAAGAACCCCAGGAATTCAGGGGGAGTAAAGGTGGAGGCACCAAGAGATATTATTGTTTATCACAAAAGCCTTCAAAGAGTTTTAAAAAAAGTTTCCTAAGGCCAAAGACAAACCATGCTAATACCTCCTTCCTGAACCACTGTCACGGGACAAACTTCTTCTAAACATGACATTCTGAATCAGATTCCAGGGATTTTAGAAATGAGGGGTTTTTTAATTATTTTCTTTAGTGTTTAATTGGACCATTCCTTTTTCTACAAGGCTCAGACCCCAGGAATTTTAAAATGTCACTAGTGACAGCAATACACACAAACAGCAAGGAATTTCCAGAGCCTGCCATTTGTAAAAGCCACCCCCGGGCAGGGGCCCAGAGCTGAATTCTGTCGTTGATTAACCCAGAGGCTTATCAAAGCAGGAGCAAGCACTGTTTCTGCAGCTCCAGGGAGCAGGGGTGGAGCAGCCAGAGGGTGAGTCACCAAGCACTTACATCGCTCTTCCTGAACTTCGCTTTCAAGCTCTTCATGTTTCGCCCATTCAGCCTTCCAAAAACTCTAGAGGAGATTTTTCAATACCTAAGCAGAGAAAGAAAGAAAGAAAGTTAAGTATCTACATTTCCAAATAGACACTAGGGCTATTCCCTCCCTAATGGGACTGTCATTTTGGCCCATGGGTAAGTGATTGGCATGGTAAAGTTGGGAAAGTGGTCAGTTAAGAGCAAGGAAGTGGTAAAGAACCCTTCTCATGTCCACAATGATACGCTCCCTAGAACTTGTTACATTTCAATTTAACCAAAACTTTATTTTTTGATTTTTTTAAATTTTATTTTATATAATTCTTACATCATTTTTCATTTTCGCACAATGTATGCATTTTCATTTTGGTTATAGTCCCCATACAATTCCCGCCCCCCCTTATTTTCACCCTAATTCCTTCCCCACCCCGTAGTGTGTCTCTTAACCAAAACCTTAAATGTCATTCCACCTTCCCAAATATTAAAAGTAGAACAAGTTTCACGGCTTAAATGTCTTACAAAATACAGTATCTGTGTACTGAACTAATTCCTCCACACATCTTTCCATTACAATACTATCCGCCTCCTTTTGAAGGGCCACAATAGCGAAGAAGAAGGAAAAAGGTTCATATTCCAGATGCCATTCATTCCCTATTTATTTTTCTCAGTGTTTTCCTCCTAAATGCACAGGGCAGTCAGATTAAAAAAAAAAAAGCCAGGAGCAACAAAGCCTCTCCCTCATCAAATAGCTCATTCCTCAGGAGGTCATGCTAATCAAGGAGCCTCTCCCAGTCTTTGGGGGACCCAGAAATTCCCAGTGAAAGCAGGAAACATCAATAAGTAATCACCTTATTTAGGAAAGCTCTATCTACTGGGCACCGACGTTATTTATTTTTTAGTATGTACCTTTTTCAGGGAAGAAATTCTTGACTTTTGCTGGACTCTGCAAGGGAATTCAGATCCGAATCCCAAATTCTGGCTTAAGGGGCACTGACTTTTTTTCCACCACCCTTTGGTTTTAAAACCAAAGCCAAAAAAGTAGAATCCTGTGCTAAAAATACGGAACAAACTTTAAATTTTCATCCTTAAATCTGGAAAATGTACTAAGTAAGGACCTTTGCATTAAGGTCAAAAGAGAAAACGTTTGTGTGACTTTCCATCACTTAGCAAGTACCCAGAAAATGTAACTTCAAGCCTCACATGACAGACAGAACGGGTGAATTTTAAGGGTATCATCCACTTGAGAACTAAGGAATAGTGCCCAAAGGCTTACCACAGTTGACCTTCAAAAAGCCCTTCAAGATCCCTCCCCCTGGTCCTTGTCACTGCCTCCAGATGCCACCCAGGGATTGATTCTCCTGATGTGTTTACTTTCATTATTGCTGCTGCCATTAAGCAAGGCCCCTTGGATAAATGGGATGAAAACTCGCCATCATAAGGCATTGCAGTCCCTATGTGGTCCCTTCCAACCTTCCCAGCCTCGGCAAGAGTGACAGAGTGCACATTGCCTCGGAAACTGTACCCACTCTAATTACACCTTGCTGAAGGCCAAGGATTTAATCACTGAGAAAACCAGAATGGGACATGACCAGTCAAAGGCAGACTCCGGGACAGTGTTTCTTAGAGTTGGCCCCTAATTCATCTGCATCACAAGGACCGGGGGACAATTTGCTAAATGTAAAACCCCAGTTTCACATCCCAAGGATACTGAAGCTCAGGGATCAGGGCCCAGGAGTCTTTCTGGTTGAATGTTCTTGTGCAATGAAGTTTGAGAACCTAGCATGAAAGTGGGTAGAACAAGGAATGTGCTTGTCAAAGCTGAGTTGGCTTGTAAACCTTTTTCATGTCAAGACAAACCATAGTTTGATGAAGCCTAGTTGACATAATCATGATAATCAGATATTCCCAGACCACCACTGACTCATAATTCTACACCCACCAACTGCAGCTAGAAAATGGAAATCAACCTTTGACTTCAGGTCCATCTGCCCTGTGGGCAAATAATCAGCAAGGAAAGAGGCCAAATCCATGCAGCAGGAAAGGCAGAGAAGGGAAGCCAAGGCTAGGAGAGTCCATCAGCTACAGCCCACCAAGGTGGAACACCCAAAGTGTTCCTTCAGTCATGGAACACAATGTCTTCGACAAGTTGGGCAAGACTTTTGCTTGAGGTCATGGGGGGCCTCATTGGCGCCATACCTGTTTTTTTGCTCTTGTTTTTGTTTTAGCATGACAGGGAGAAATATGCAAACTCTTATTTGAAGAGGATTAAATAAATATAGCAAGTAATTCCGAAAGTTTCCAGAGGAAGGTTATTAGCTCTGAAATGAATGTCTGCCTGGACTAGCAGCTCTGGGTGTGTGAGAGCTGGGTGGTCTATGGGTTCAACTCCAGGGAGACAGAAGACAGAGGTCAAGTGTAAAGAAATTCTGGGGACCTACAGAATAGTAACTCCAGAACAAGAACTGTAGCCGGGGTTATTAAAATTATTAATAGATCACTGCTCTGGTATTTGTGGAAGGATTTTAACACCTGGAGGCTGTGGCTAGTGGGAAGTAACCCATCTCTGAAATGAGGGCGGGCTCTTCACCCAGCATCTCCTCTTTCCCCAAAGGACCCATATTATCAATCAGGGGCTGGCCTTTGTCGGGTCAACAGGAATCCTACAGCCCCAGTTCCCAAATCCAAACTTTTAAAGTCCCAACTAGCTTACAGGCTCTCTTGAGTGTAGTGTCTGTGGAGGGAGACTCAGTTAAAAGCAGTCCTTGCAAAAGTCACCTAATCAAGATTCTTAATTTACCACAGTTGCAGTGAAGTGCAATTAACTGTGCAGCAGCCTATTTTGGACGGCGCAAAAAGAGGATGAAATGTTACAAAATTATGGGAACAGTTATCTGAACCAAGTTCTCATTGCAAGCCCAATAAAGAAAATTTACTCAATGAGCAGAAATGTTAGTCAGGCCACTCCCTCGCCAATCCAACATAAGTCACTGAAACATGGCTTCTATCAAGGTCGCCGGTCTCGTCAGGTGACCAGTGAGGACGGAGCGGACAGAGATGTACAGCCTTGCTTCCCACTCATCAAAAAGGCTGGAACTGGGTTTATTTATTAAGCTTTGCTTCCTTTCAAAAATAATGTAATTCTCAATCACAGCTTAACATGTGATTCCTTTAGCTGATAAAATTCTAGCCCGAATCCAAAAACTGGTATTAGGTGATGGAGCTTTGTCATGAACTAATAAATTAGAATTCAAGTATTAAAAAATAACTTATAGTGGGGCCTCCCCTGGTGGCGCAGCGGTTGAGCGCTGGGCTGCGAGGCTGCCCACAGCCTCTGCAGCGCTGGTTCGTTCCCCGGCCGCCAGCGAGGGTCCCACAAAATAAATAAATAACTTATAGTGGATATGGTGTCTCCTCTGGAGTGTTGAAAATGTCCTACATGTATTGTCACGATAGTTGCACAACCTGTGAACATTCCAAAAAGCATTCATCTGTACACTTCAAGTGGGTGAACTTAACAGATGTGAGTTATATCTCAACAAAGCTGTTTTTAAAAAAAACTTAATAATGGCCGTTAACTTCTCCAGCCCTTACAGATAGGAAAAAAAGTTCCTTTCTTCTTTGTTACCCCTATTCCTACACACAGGCACCCACATGTGACCTGCAGATCACTTCATAAGGCAATGGTGCCAATGTGGGTCCTCTTGGAGCTCCCCAAATATTCTGATTCTGTAATCAGAAGTGAGGCCAGAAATTTGTAATTTTTTTCAACTCCCTGAGTGATTTCAATGTTCACCTAGATTAGGGAACCATTGTTTTAGACTCAGTGATAGTATGTATGTATGTACGTATGTATGTATGTATGTTTGTACGTATATATATGTGTGTATATATATCACATACCATACAATATATGGTATATATTATACCATAACTATAATTGACAGTTCCATTAAAAATAACCTAGAGACACTGTACACATGGATATGACTGATCAATGTTTTCCAGCATTGACTATTTAGATCTTTCAAAATATTGGGGATGGGGGAGTGGAAGGGGAGCCCTCTATGCTCTAAATTCTAGGAGAGCAACTAGCTGATTGCTCATGGTCACTGAGGAATAAATGTTCCCTCCCTGAATCCAAGAACTCACTAGTATCCAAAACACCATAACACATACACGGGATTCAGGAGCAGTGGTTTAAAACAATTCCCTCTAAATCACCACAGCAGTAGAGAAGAGGAAACAATGTCTTCTCTCTTGCTAATTATTCCTTCTGCCAAGGAGTAGGGGATACTTGTACAAAATCCTCTGCAATCCCAGAGGATGTGTGCCCCAGAAAGTCTTCAGGACTTTTTCTTCCAAGTTACAAAGAACGTCAGACTTAAAATCTGAAGCACTTAAGAAAGAGCTGAATAAAATTAAAATACTTCTCTCCTTGCCAGCATCCACCTCTTTTCCCATAAGTCCTTGATTATTTCCTCACACAACAATCTCTCAGCAACAAAGATTGAATTTTAACCAAAACTAAACAATTCTCTCAATCTGGCAAAACAAACACATTCTGTCAAAGGTCTTTCCGGACGAGGCTTCCCAATAAACAAGTCCCTGACAACACAGCAGCTTGTGCTACCCCAGGTCACTTGTGGGCAGGAGCTGCTTCACGTCTTCCTCTCTCAGATGGGGCCAGGCCCATGACCACGTCCTGCTTCTGGAATCAAGGCCATAAAATGGGAAGCGGAGGCTGGTGAGAACTACTGCTCCTCACCATTTACTTTCTCTACAGATTTGTTCTGCCAGTAAGACAGAATGCTCAACAAAAAAGACATTTAGGTTATAGACACCCTAAGCAGGCAATATGGAGAAGTCAAAACAGACCAAGGATCCAGAACTATCTAGTAATTAGGTGCCAAATAGTGCAGGAATTCAAAAAGTAGAAGTCTTTGAGCTCAGGGAAAGATCAGACAAGTTTTCCTAATAGAGGGAGGGAATGTGTGTGTGTGTGTGTGTGTGTGTGAGAGAGAGAGAGAGATTTGGGGAGGGGGTGGGGGTGGGGTGGAGGAG